TTCTAAATTGCTCGGCAAGTGTTTTCAACCATGAATTAACAAAAATAACTATCAATATTTACTTAGTAAATACATTATTTTGATTGCTTTTTTTTTTTTTTTTTTTTTTTTTGGTACCGGGGATCGAACTCGGGTCCTTGTGCCTGTGCAGCAGACGGCAAAACTACTGAGCTAAATCCCCGGCTTGATTGCTTTTTAATTAATGAACAACATATCTTTAAGTTAATTATTAAATATCTGTTCAGAATAAATGCATACTATGGGGATGATGGTACAGTTCAGTGCTAAGGTGTGCAAGGGCCCAAGACTGATCCTTTGCATTATTAAAAAAAAGGGGAGAGAGAGAGCAAGGAAAGAAGGGAGGGAAAGGCAGAAGGCATGAGGGGAAAGAAAAGATGGAAGGAAAAAAAATAAGTCCTAAACTGAATTCTCCTTGCAAGTATAGACTATTCTTGGTGATAACTGGATCTCTTCTAGCTGGTAGCATGATTCCTTACAAAGAAACAGGATCCAGTGCTCTTAGAATGAAAAAAGAAAACAAGGGGAAAAGGAGGAGAGGAAAGACAGAAGGAATATCTGTGAAGTGCATGTTACAAGTATTTTTTTTTTAAAGGAAACTTGAGTTGCTTTATTTAGCTTCCAATTTCTGGGAGGCTCAAGAGTTTAAGTATTCTGGACAACAAAAGAAAATAAGACCATGCTTACAGATCTTTTTCTTCCATACTCTTTCTTTAGGATTGTTTTTTTATTGTTGCCCTTTCTATTACATGGGATGTACACATCAGGTGTTAAAAGGTACAATACATTCTACAACTGAGCACCACTTTCTGTAACTGAACAGGCAAAGAAATTACACTGAACATCAGCATCTGGCAGTATTTTTTGGAAAAAAGAGAAAAGAAAAAAGTTATATAGGTTTTTAAAAACTTCAATTTTTTTTTTTTTTTTTTTTTTTTCCGCCCACACTCTTTCTTTAGGATTGCTATTTTATTGTTGCCCTTTCTGTTACATGGGATGTACACATCAGGTGTTAAAAGGGACAATACATTCTACAACTGAGCACCACTTTCTGTAACTGAACAGGCAAAGAAATTACACTGAACATCAGCATCTGGCAGTGTTTTTTTGGAAAAAAAAAGTGACTAAAATGGGTTTAAATTGATTTAAAAAAAGTTATATAGGTTTTGTTTGCTGTCTTAATTTTGGTTGTATTTTTTGATGTTAACACATTTTGTATAATTGTATCGTATAGCTGTATTGAATCATGTAGTATCAAATATTAGATGTGATTTAATAGTGTTAATCAATTTATGTGTGACATATTCTGCCCCCAGAGAAGGAGGTGCTGCCAGGGGGAATGTGGCACAAAAACACTCAGGTTGGACATCCAGTCCTGTCTCCTACCTGTGTGCAACTTTCAAAAGTTTCGTGTATTTATGAGTTAGTGTATTACGAGCTCCATCTTCATAATGGGGAAAATAATCAATTTATGCCACTGGGTTACTATGAAGATCGACACACAGCATCAGGTAGAGGGTGGCAGTCAAGCAGATGACAGGATGGCCTTGTGGGAAAGCTGTGATTTGGCTGGGATTCTGCCTCCATCCTGTATTGGCGATGACAAAGTGGCAGACCACCACTCAACCCCTGAGCCTCAGTTTCCTCACCTGTGACACAGAGGTTACAAAAGTACTGCTTCCTTCTGAGGATGGGAGGGCAACGTGAGACCCAACATGCCCTGTGCTTGGAGCACAAATGCCGCTGATATGGCTGACTGCATCATTATCAGTGTTATTAGAGACATCAGTGAACTGCTACAGACTACACAACTAGGAGCCAGCAGGGTGTGGAAGGAAGCTGAAGCTGTCACCGAGGCCCCTGTTTTCTGAGAGCCTTAAGCCTTGGTCACTACCACGGTCTCCTCTCCCTCCCTCTCCCCCTCTCTCTTTGCTGTATAATTTAAAAACTTTTAATTTTCATTAGTGCACGTCTATAGTGCACAGCGATTATATTCACCCATGGAGGTGGTCCAAGTGCGTAACACATCTCAGTTATTTTAACTTCTCCTTTCCCTCCCCTTCCTTCTTCCTGCCTCCCTTTCTGGGTCCCCTTCCCATTTGCAAAAGATCTATCTCCTTGTTTCCCATTATCTGTCTTTTATTTTGCCCTTTGTTTATTTGTGCTTGGGGTTTCTCCTATAGGAGAAGCCATGTGATATCTGAGCGGTACTTCCCCGAACACCGTGGTCTCAGGGAGCTGAGGCCTGCTGGTTCTGGTCCTGCCTGCGTGGGACACCTTGTCCTGCTCCAGTCTGGGCAGGATGCAGCGCTGGCTGGATTTCAGTCCAGCTCTGCTCCTATTCTGTGCACTGTCACCCTCCAGTCCCTTCAAGGTCACCTGTGAGGATGGAGACACTTCGGGGCTCTGTGCCTCTTCCCATTGGACCCTTGGCTTCCGGTGTCACCATGTGCTTGTCCCTCGGTGTTCCTGCCTGGCCCCGCTGCTAGCCTGCTCATGGGTGGGGTGGGCTTTGTGGTCTCCACCAGACCTGGGTCCTGCACGCCTAGGCCCTGGCATGGGGCTTCCTCGGGCTCCTGCTGCCCCCCACCCCCGCAGCCAAATTCTGCCTCGGGTCTTCGGGGGATCTGCTGCATGAGCTTTTTGGTGTCTCCACCCTTGTGACCTCTTTCTTTTTGTGTTCTGCCCAAGGGCTTCTCCCGTTTTCTTTCATATGTATGTTTGTCAGTGCTGACTGTACCTGCACCGGTGTGACCATGAGGACCATGAGGGAACCAAGAGGAGCCACCTGGGATATTCAGGAGGACTCAGACCTGCGCACGGGACAAGTGGCACAGGGCTGCAGGCTCAGTGCTGTGGGGAGGTGGGGCTGGGTCATTCTTTGCCCTGAGGAAGGCTGTCCTGGGTGGAGTCCTCATTCAGCAGCACTCCCGTCTTCCACCCACTAGAGGTCAGTAGCACTCCCCGGGTTGTAGCAGCCAACAATGTCTCCACTCTGCCACTGGTCCCTAGCAGCAAGAACTCCTCGTTGAGAACCACTGATTCCTGCGTGATGCGTAACAGGTGTGCAAGTCAGGTGTGCTTGCTTGCTTCCTTCCCTGCAGCTGCTCGTTGGGCTCCGCGGTGCAGCCTGGTGCCTCTGTGCCCACCCCACCCTAGCACTTCCGGTCCCACCGAGACGGCCATGTGAGTCACCACCTCCTCCATCAGACTGTGGGCCCTGGCTCATCCCTCACTACTGTTGAGCGCAGTACTTGATAGCAGTAAGCGCTCAATAATAGAGAAGAAGTTTAGGGCAAGGCTGTAACGGGCACTGAAGATCCATTTCACTGATAGTTTAATCTAAATATAAATGTACAGAACTAATAAGAATCAATCCCTGCAAATGAGGTTGTAATGAAAAAGATAATCTGCTTCCCATAAAAACTTGATTATTCACACATTGATTATCAAAGTAAAACTCTACCCGAATTGAGGCCAGGACCTTGTTTAACTTGTAAGGCAGCTTTGCTCCTGGCCAATATTTTGCTTATGCCTCTCCTGCCCTGTTTCTCACTTGACTTCACTTGACTTAAATGTGTTGAGATTGCAGCTCCGCTTGCAAGTGATCCAGCCACAAGAAGACATTTTGCTTTAATGGAAAGCTACAAACATAATAGGAAGCAGGAATGCAAAGTACTAAGAATGGAGGCTCAATTCTGCCATAGTTGCTTTTAGAAAATCAAACGACGATTATTTTTCCTGAAAAAATTGAATGCATGGACACTTATCTATCTGTAAAAGGAAACTATGAGTGTTTTCTAGATAAAGGAAAGCTGGCTTCTCAGCTGTGACCATTGACTGCTTTGTAACTGTATTCTTTTCCCCTGAGCATGCATCGTGCCTGGAAATGCTCTCCCTGATCTGCAGCCCCCTGCTTGGTGTCCCCAGTTGCAGCTCTTGGTAGAAAATAGTGGGAGCAAAGCAAGGGAATTTTGCGGGCCAGACTGAAAAATGTCCCGTGGGGACAGACATGGGGCTGGGGAGAGAGGCAGTCTCTCCTCCTATTAAACAGCCCTGTACTTTCCATGATTGAGTTCAAATGATCGACAGTTTGTTCATCTTCATCCATTTAACAAGAATCTATTGAGAACCACTTCCGTAGAAGCACTGAGCCAGATGCTGGGGCTAAAATATTCCCTGTCCTCGTAGAGATGGCATCTCATGACTGCTTGGGTGTGTGCTGTGCTCTCCATGTGTTATTAGAACAGTTGTGAGATTTTATAATAAACAACAAAAGCTCAGAGAGGGTGCTAACTGGCCTAAAGACACAGAGTTTGTAGAGTTGCAGCTGTTGATGAGGGATTGCTAATGTTCACCCTGCAAGGTTATTCAAGGATTAAGTGTCATTCCTTTATAGTCCAACCGCTGCTGAGAAAGGCTTCCCTTGACCTTCCTGATTCTGCTTTAGCTACTTTTCAAAGCATGTCTCCCTTGCTTTGTTGTCATCTGTTATTTACTCATTTCTTACGGGGCTCCTCCCATCAGCGTGCAAGTTTCAGTAGAGCAGGGGGTTGGTTGTTCATTGATTTGACTCCTGGGTCCCTAACTGTGTCGGATCCTGGCAGACCTCCAGGATACAGCTTGTGAGTGGTTTATGGGAGGCCTGGCTTAGTGCTGTGTGGAGAGGCGGTGGGGTGTTTCATCGCTCCTCTTGCACTCTCAGTCCTGTTGGATATCTTCTGTGTCCAGGGCATTGTGTGGTAAAGTTTGTACTTTCGTTTCCTTCTGTGCAATGGTTGGAACAACGCCCCCAGGCTCATGTTAGAGTCTAATCGCAGATGTACCTGGGCTCCACCAAATGTGAGGCCTGGCCCCATACCCTGGAGTGGGCTTATTCTAAAGGGGAACCTTGGCCCCTCCAATGTTCCTTTCCTTCCTACCGCATTGCCAGAAACCCGGCCCCAGTTGCTATGGGCACCTTGATCTTATACTTTCCGGCCTCCAGGACTGAGAAACAACTTCTGTCTATCCTAAACCACCCAGTCTTCGATATTCTCTCATAGCAGCACAAAACAAAGACATTGTCAATACTGATAGAAGCCCTCAAGTTAAGTAACAGTTTGAACCCAGAGTACACAGGGGCCGTGTGAGTTCTCAAAGCATGTTCACACTCAGTGCTGATTGTACTCACTGGATGCAGACTCAGAAGGATTTAACAGTGAAAGCTTCTCCTTTATAAGAAAAATTAGGCCTTTCTTCATTAATTAAATTAAATGTTACCATGTATTTTGTTAGAAATATAAAGTGATCTACATGTTTAGGGCATTTTCAATTATAAGATATTTTCATAATATTAACTGTTGTAGTTTTTTTTTTTTTTGGCAGTACTGGAGATTGAATCTAAAGCCTTGTGTTTTGGACTAAGTTATATCCTCAGCCAAAACAAATTTTTTTTGGACAAGGTCTCACTGAGTTGCCCAGGCAGGGCTCAAACTTGGCGATCTTCCTGCCTCAGCCTCCCAGAGTACTGGGATTACAGGTGTGGTAACCCCATGCTCAGCTCAAGTGATCTTTGGAAGTCAGCTTGGCAGGGACTTTCATTTCTATTTTGTGGACAAGGTCACAGAGGCTCAGGGAGGTTGTGTGACTTATTACCACCCAGTTAGCCATTGGCAACGCTGGGCTGAGGATCTGGGCAAAGTCATGTAATATTATCATAAAGATGTGAGTTCAAATCCTAGCTCTGAAGAAGGCAATGAGCATTAGATGAGATGCACATGAAAGTCCTTTGCCTGACCTGGCTTACTGTACATTGTTAGCAGATGTAATTCTCCTTCCTCCCAGCCCCCTGGACCAGGAGCATCCCAGCATCGTGTGGCTCGGCTCCGTAAACCTCACCGAGTTGCACCTGGGTGTGACCTGTGAGATGCACTCACTTCCTCCAGCTGTAGCCACGTGTTCTGGGTTCTCCCTGTAGGAGGCGTTGAGGGCTTGATGTGCCATGGAGAGGGGCCATCCACTGCACCCTTGAAATAGCGAGTATCTGTGCAAAGCGAAGAGGATTTGAGTCACAGCTCCTGTGGAGTCAGCAATACATGGACAATCTGGACATGCCCACCTGAGAAATTCTACCAGTCCTCCAGGGTTTGGGCCACGCCGCACCTGTAAGACATCTTCCTAGACCCTACTCACCTACACTGCACCCCCAGGTCTTTTCTGTACCCTGCACTTGACAGATTCTGCCATGTTTCTCTGTCAGTCTGCTTCTGCCACTCGAACGAGGCCTTCCTGGCACTGTAGGTTATCTTTGCTTGTCCTTATGTCCCCTGATCAGCCAAAATGGTAACTGGCACAGACTAGATGCATTTTAGCAACTGAACAATGGATCCTATCTTTATTTACAAGATCATTCTCTCCAGAGAAGTTTCTGTGGATTCATTTCCATGGGCCAGGCCCTCGGAAGTCATGCACGCCTCGCTTCCTCTTTGCTTTTACAGTGCTGTTTTGTCTGAGGTTTAGAGATCTGCTGAAGCTGCCCTGTGTGCTCCAAGTAGAAAAATCCAAAAGTGAGTGCAAAGCTAGTTCTTCCCCACTCCTAGAAAGTATGGCTTTGTTGCTGTACCCCGGAACTACACATGGTCTGACTGTCCGCAGAATGAATCATACATGCTAAGAACTCCCTCCCACTCCCCTGCCGCTCAAACTGCAGCTTAATGCTTGCTATGTGGCCACCCACTCTCTGCTGTGCTCCTAGGCTAGCAAATTGCCTATGACCCAGGGAGAGTACCATCATGATAATGACAGCTACGGGTATGGAGCCCACATGTATGATTCATGCCATCTCCACAAGGACTCTCTGGGGGAGGCTTATTATTACAAACCCTATTTTCAGATGGAGATAGGAGTCCTAGAGACTTACTCAAGCCATCTGGATACTAAGCCATGGAGGCAGGATTTCAGCCTAGGGTGGTTTAATTCAGAATCTGTACCCTTAATTGCTATGCACTATTGCAGGAGGGACGTGCACCTGCAGATGTTATGCCCAGCCCCGCACGTTACCTGCATATTCAGATTCCTTTATGGGCCTGGCTGGCAAAATTTTCACCGATGGCCACCCATCTATCACCTGAAGCTCGGGGTCTTCATAGTCGTCATCACTGGGGAATTTTGCTGTGTCTAGGACTGCAGTCATGTTCTTTTCCTAAGTAGGTGGATACATCTTGGTAAGTCACAGGAAGGGGCAACGTGGACCAAGCCTACAGACTGAAGTGTTGGCTGGGGGAGTGACATAGATGCATTAACAGAAATTTGAAGACTTAAGAGTCTGGGGTCTCAGAAGTTGAATTCTTGTGATAGTGAGAATTCTAAAGATGTCCCCCTAATTTTTCCCTCTCTGATTATTCAATCAAATCCCTATTTAGTTTCTACTAAAAGGGTCAGTGAGTATGCAGTTAAGGTTGTTAGCAGCCGACTTTAAAATAAAGGGATAGTCCTGGATTATTTGGGTGAGCTCAAGGTAGTTACACAAGCTCTGAAAAGCAGAGCAAACCTATTTGCTGAAGAGATGATCTTATATATAGGAAATCCCAATGAATCCACAAGAATTATTAGAACTTAGAATTAATACAAGATTCAGCAAGGGATCAGAATAAATGACCAATCTCCCACAAAATTTATTTGTATATATTGGTCATAACAATTTGTATTTCCAGTAATACTTTGTAAATAAAAATTAAGGAAATAATGATATTAGGATAGCATCAAAAAATAAAGAACCTAAGAATAAATTTAACTAAAGTTGTGTAAGAGTGTACACTAACAATTGCAAACACATTGCGGAAAGTAGTTTCCAAAGACCTTGGGAAGTGGAAAGACACTCAGTGTTTATGGACTGAGGACTTACTATTGTTAAGATAGGCACACTTTGCAAACCAAGGCACAGATTCAACACAATTCATGTCAGAATTCCAAATGCTCTTTTCCTCTTCCTCCTCTCCCTCTTCTCCTTTGGCAGAAATAGACAAGCCAATCAAAAATTCCTATGAAAATGAGCTGTCTCTCTCCACCATATTCATGTATATGGATGACAAGAAGGAAGCCATCTGCAATCCCAGGGATGGTCCTCACGGACCCTTGGTTGTGGCCTTCAGTTTCCAGGAGTCTGAGAAAACAAAGGCTTATTGTTTCAGCCACCCACACTATGGGTTTTTGCTATGGCAGCGCAAGCCGACTGACATAGGTATGTATGTATCAAAGGCTCTGGCTGAAGCCTGGGCGGCAGCCCAAAGGAGATATCCTTGCATGAAACTGGCATCAGAGCATATATGGTATATGGACCCATGCTGGGGGCCTGGAGCTGGCCATGTGCTCAGTGTAAGCAGCAGCAGGACCCTCAACCATGCCTTCCCTCAGCCCTCCTGCAGAGCCACAAAGAGATCTTCTATTCGCTCCAGGCCTCAGAAAGCTCAGCTTTTCCCTGATGTTAGTCTTGATTTGAGCTTGAAAGAGAAATCCAAGTGCCGAGATGGGGTTGAGTCCATAAACGCTGAAGTTTGGAAAGATCTAAGGGGTGTCCCGTGATGCCAAGGACGAAGACGAGATAAAGGCGTCACTTTCCATGGACATTCCCCAACTTGGGTCTTTAAGTGAGGAACTTTTATCTTCCTTTTACAAATTTAGAAACTAGTTTTGGTGACTTCCCAAGCCACACAGGTGTCACGCATGTCACAGGGGTCATGGGTGAGCAAAACTAGGTCTTTACACCAAATCCATCCTGCAACCCCATGTCAGAAACCCTTGTCCTACAAGGGGGTGGGGTGTGAATGTAAATATTTTGTTCTATTTTATTGGAGAGAGAGAGAGAGAGAGAGAGAGAGAGGAAAGGAGAGAGAAGAAGGGAGAGAGGAAGGGTGATGGGGAGGGAGAGAGATATTTTAAAAATAAGTTACATCTATCTATCAATCAATCACCTATTTATCTATCAATCAATCATCTATCTATCTATCAATCAATCATCCATCTATCTATCTACCTACCTATTAGTTATTATCTATTTTCGGGCAGCCTCAGGGATTCCTTACTACAGGCTAATATTCACTACCTATAACCCTCCTAATTAAAAAATATTGTGTATGTCTGTGTTCTGGTATGAGAGTCCACAGCTTTAATTAGATTTTTAAAGAGGTACTTCAGCTAGAAACAAGCCAGGGACTTCATAGGCAGGTTCTGTCTGTCTGTGTGCATTGTCTGTCTGTCTGACTGTTTGTCTACCTGTCTACCTACCCATCGTCTTCTGACCTGTCATATATAGATATGTTATTTAAATTATACACATATATAACTTAATACAATTACTTATAATATTAGGTATTTGAATTCAGGTTAGAAATTTTAATCTCTTTCATTACTTGTTAAAATTCTTTGTGAATATTTCAAGTGACTTTATAAAATGGAATATCCTACCATATTCAACTATTTCTGTATTGTTGCATATTTAGCACAGTCCCAATGTGCTGCTGTATTATTACCAAATATCAGTGAGTGTGTTTAAATCAGTCTGAAATTTAGGTTAGTTTCTTATTTTAAATTCCGACCATGCAATTACTGGGGCAAAAAGGGGATATTTTTATATTGCTTTGTTAATATTGCAAAATTGTCTTCCAGCAAATTTACCTCAATCTAAAATTCCACCTTAGTGTCATGAAGTGCCTCCTCCTATTGCACTTGCTAGCTCTTGTGTTGTTAGTTTTACCTTTTCATCCTTCATGCTGACCTTGTGGATTACTTTTTATCTTCATTTTATAGCTGAGGAATTGGAATATGATGTTTTACTGAAGAATTAAAATACAGTTTTTCTTGCCAGCAAAATATGCCATTTGGAAAAAAAAAAAACCTTTGGATTTTTTTTTTTTTTTTTTCGGTACCAGGGATTGAACTCGGGTCCTTCCACTTGCGAGGCAGGTGGCGGAACCGCTGAGCTAAATCCCCAGCCCTAAGTATGCCATTTGGAACATTAAAAGCAAAAGAACAAAAAACCCAATTCATCAAAAGACTTGAAAAAAGCTCCTTCATTTGCAAGCTTTGAAGACGGACAGAATAGCTCAGGGGAGCGCGGACTCACGCAGTGCGGTAGAGGCTCCTCAAAGGTCCGGTACTGGTACTGACCTGGAAAGGAAACAGCAAATGTTACCGCATCCCCGCAGCAGGCAGCTCAACATGTGGGAAAGACCAGGCCTTCGTTTTTCCCCAGAAATCTTGTGTTCCTTTCGCTTATCTTCCTTGACTGTAATTTTTCAGAACTGAAGTCCACATTTCCCTGTTTCCCATCCTACCTGTTGTTTTGCAAAATAATGGACTGGGAAAGGAGGCAAGAAAATCAAACTCAACTCAGATGGTGAAATGGAAAGAGCAGGCTGGTGCTTCCATGGCAGCTGAGATTTTCCCAGAAAGAGACGTGGTGTGGGACCCCCTCCACCTCTGCACCCAGAGTCATGGCTTGTTCATGTTGTGCACACGGAACTCTACCCATGCACCTCACGGGTTATAAGTACTTTGAGAGCAGGGTTCCTGTCTGTTCATCCATCCACATCCCAGGTCCAGGCACAACTCCCAGTATTGAGTAGTTGAGATGTGTTCTTGACCGGTCTTGATCGAGTGAATATCGTCCAGTTGCAGTTTTGGTTTCCAACTCTCAACTCCCTCATTTGAACTGATCTTGTGAAAGACTGCCTGAGGTTATGCATCCCTCTTAGTATTCAGTTTTAAATTTTACTTTAGTTTATACAAAACCAGCACAACTACTCCAGTGGCTGCTTGCTGTTTTGATTACTTATAGACCTAATTTTGTGCTATCGATCTTCATCAAAGAGCATTAAGTGCAGAAAATATTCTTATTACCTTCTCTTTATTAGCACACAGGTGAGAAATTTCTGTAGGAAATGATACTTTCCTTCTTCAGACGCTAAGCACTTCAGGACAGATTTCTGGACCATGCCTGGCGATGGTTGAGGACCATGGCATGGTCCTCTTCTATATCTTGCTCTAGCTTCATTAGAACTTTTTTCCTTTTACGATGAATTCCTGACCACCCCTAGAATAGAGGTGTGGATTTTGTCCACATCCCCATGTCTTTTGTAGGGGTCATTGTTGAGATCACGGCTCACTGGAAACACACTTCTCTGGCATTTGCCCAGGACTAGTGCATGGGGAAGTGCTGAATAGCCCGAGTGAATTACCTTGAAATAATGAGCCAGGAGGGGTGAAATCCATCTGCAGTCCTCCCTCCTGGGGATAGGACCAGTCACCAGCACTACCCAGGGCACCCAGCACCACTGAGGTTCCTGGCAGAGGGAACAGAAGTTTTTCAGCCTTTTAGAGGGGTGGCTCCTACTTTCTCCTAACTGGAGATCACATCACCAGTTAAGGACCAGCTGGCCCGGAGGAACAAAGGGGCACAGAATTACTGGGGCTTCTCTCTGGCCCTTCTCATCCAGGAAGCAGCTCCCCTGTCTAACTCGGAGTTCAATATAATTTCATCGTGGGAAACCAACCTCCTTGAGTGTGGCCATTCTACCAACGTCCCTCCAGGGCACCATGGTGGTCTTTTCTCTCACCGAGGGCCAGATGTCCCCGCCTGGATCTCTAAATGCCTTTCTGTCCTTTCTTGTCTCCTTGTGTCCATCCTACCTGGGCTGCCTGCCCTTCCGACCTCCCCTTTGCTCCTCAAATGCAATGCCCAGTGTCCTTCGAGGCTCCCCTTCTGGACTGATTCAGGCCACATTAATCCCACTGAATGGGCAAGGGCTTTATTTCCTGTTCACGCACCATGACACTTAAAAATAGGCAGCATCTGGTGGCTTCTTTGTTGCGTATACACTGTCTTTCTTTGGGGAAGGATTTGTCTCATCTCTCTATTTCCCAGACTACCTATCTGTGTTATCCTCAGGGCAGAGTGTGGCTATATAATTTTAGGCATAATTTGAACACTGCACATCTGTTCATGCCCACAACATCTGGCCCAGATCCCCAGAGCCCAACACAATCTGTGCCTGCCTTGGTGTCCACCTTGCTCCTCCAGGTTTCTTTTGAAAAGATTCTGTTTCAACCAGGCCCTGCCCCTCAGGCTTCCGTGTCTGTTTCTGCATTGTCTCTTTTTAGCAAGAATCCTAGGGGATGAGTTTAGCCGGAGTCTTCCACCTCCAGGTGTGATCCCCATCCCTGTCTAGCCAGGTCGTTACCGCACACCACCCCACACCAGGTGACGCCCACTTTCACCAGAATCACCGTTCATCCCCAGCTGTTCCTCTTAGTAATCGGCCATCCTCTGACTCCAACACTGTCTTGGCTATCAGTTCCCACTTTTCCTTGTCGTATTCAGAGTTGAGCTCAATCTCCTTTCTCTACTGCAGATGCCCACTGGAGTGGTCCCTGTACCTTTCTCCATGGTCCTGAATGAAGTCAGCCTTTCTCTGTAACAATGTCCAGAAGTTTTCTCTTTAACACTTCCTCCCCTCTGAATTCTGGCTCTTTTTAAGTCTCTGCAGCACACCATGCACTCTGTCTCCAAGACTTAGCACACGCTGTCCATCTTTCCAGAATGCTGTTTCCTTAGCTCTTCCATTCTCTTCCATTCTGACCCTCAGGTCACAGCTGGAACATCACCCTCAGTGTGCCTCCCCTGAGCCAACCTCGGCTATAATCCAAGAGCACCTTTTCATCCTGGTCCCTCACACCAAGAGTGCCTTGTCTTGCAGTGTGCTCAGCAGACCCCCTCTCCTTTCCCATGGGTGCCTGGCAAGGGGACACTTCCCAGCTCCTCCCACATGGGCTGGGCATGGCATGTGTGGTGGCTGCTGGGACATGCCCAGTGTGGTGAACCCCATCCCTGCTGGCTGGCTGAACCCTGCATATTTTTGTTTTGGCTCAGAGAATGCCTGGTCAGACAGAATCCTTTTGGATAATAGAAGCCATTGGGTAAAGGCGGATGTTTGGAAATAGACCTCCTTCAACCCATCCACGCTAGATGGTGGTGGGAGCAAGAAATCTTCATTGTATTCCACCCCTAACATACATTCATTATATGTAGCTATTAGATGTTAGTCCTAACTAATTAATAAATGCTTTCAAGTTTCTCTATAGCATTTAGGAACAAAGACAATCAATACATTATATAGTTACAGACTCCGGTGTCTACCTTCCCAAGCCCATGGCAAGATTTCAGATTTGTGACCACTTCTGTAACCGAGTAGTGCAGAGAAAGGGACATGGTACGTGCACAATAAGTGAATAGCCAGCTGTCAGAGAGCATATGGTACAGTGGAAGAACCCCAGAAATGGGAGCCAGCAGCAGAATTTCAAGTAGATCCTGGTCTCCTCTACTATTGCATGAACTTGACCTTGACTGAACCCTCCTCTTGCTGGCCCCAGAGCACCACCTAACGGCCCACCCACACCTGTCCAGGTCTTTGGCTCTTCCTGGAACTGAAGCTGGTGCTATAGTTTGGATCATGAATGTTACCCAAAGGTGCATGTGTGAAAGGCTTGGTCACTATTCTACTACTAGAAGGTGGAGGAACCTTTAGGAGGTGGGACTTAGTGGAAAGAAGTTGGGTCATTGGTGGTGTACCCTGAAGGGGATATTGAGACCCTAGACCCTTCCTGTCTCTCTTTTCCTGCTTCCATGAGGTGAGCAGCTTTGACTTACCACACCTGCCCCACCATGATGATTCAGCCTCTCCACAGAACCCAAAAGCAATGCAGCCAGCCATGGACTGAAACCTCTGATCTGTGAGCCCAAAGAATCCTTTCCTCCTTTTATGGTTATCCCAGGTATTTTGTCATAGTGCTGGAAAATCTGACGAAGACAGTCAGTTTGTGAAAAGGAAACTGAAAAGGAAATTGTTCTGTAGCTCTTCTCATCACCTCCTGGAAGAGTTCTAGCTGTGCTGGGGATCTATTGAGAGTCACTTGTCACCCACAGGTACCAAACAGCTCCATGGAACAATTGGCTCTGTGTGTCCCTCGAGGAAACCTGTTCCTTCAAGGGTAACAGGCCTTTGCCAGTTGTTCAGAGAGAAGTGAAGATGAGTACATGTGGTGTACAGGCTGTGTGTGTGGGGGGTGTGGACAGGCTGCAGGCAGTTGCCCACCCTGTGGGCACCAACTTGGATACCTGTTCTCATGCCCAGAGGGGCAGAGCCAAGGAAGGCAAAGGCACATGGCCAATGCCCAGCACAGTGAGATTCCTAGATCATGGCCACAAGGTTCATCTGAGTTCATTAAAAAATAAAAGGAAAGGCAATAAAACCTGGGCCCTGGTATAAATGCCTGGAATCTGCTTTTTCCACAAGTCTGTGGTGATATTCATTCATCCAGAACTTTGAGAACCAGAGACCTAAGAGCTGCCACCCTCTGCCAATGGCAGGTGGGCCGTGCAAGTTAGACCTGGAGACTCTTGGGTTCTTCTCATTTGTACACACTTCTGTGAGCTCAGTCTCGGAGTCGCAAGGCCGGTGACACTGTCCACGACTTTACTTGGTACCTTCACACGGGCACCCCAGCTGGCTGAGCCCTAAGTGCAGTTGCCATGGGGTATTCGCTTCCAAGGAAGTCACAGGCTGACAGGTTTTCCAGCAGGTCCCTTGATGAGAATGTGGTTATCTGGAGAGAAGAGAAGTTCAAGCTAGAAGCCTGCAGAGCTTAGAGCTGTCTTTCCATAGGAAACGAAGTCAGCATATTTCCCAAGGCAGACAGGTTTCTGAAGCAACACCAGCATCCTCTTCCGTTTCAGTGAGCAGAGAAGAATTGGATGCTGGTGAAGAAGTATGAGGATGCTGAGGTTGACCCCAATTCCAGGCTGCCAGCTGGATTTCCTCTTCAGTGTGCAGTGCAATTTGAGGCACCAGTGATTCTCATCTGCAATCTAAGGACTCCACAGAAAGCGGGGTCCCCCTGGAATCCATTCTCCTCTTCTCGGGCACTTGATATTGCCTGGATCGTGTCAGCATGGCTGTTGGTGGGGCCGTAAGTCCATGCTTTGGTCAAGAGGATCGAGGCAGAAAATCCATTCATAACTTCCAGAAAACTTTCTGAAGTGGTTATGCATCTTTTCCTTTTCCACCTTTCCCTTTTCCATCCCGCTGTGTGGAACACTAATGTCTCTGTTTTAGGCTGTAGGGTGGTGGCCAGTACCAGGGAGGGAGGCCAGCCAGGAGCAGTGCTGCCCATGGGCGTTGGGCATCTTGCTTTGGGGCTTGCCTTCCACAAGGGAGGGAACAGCTCCACCCTGGTTCAGCCCCATGGAGGCCATGCTTTGCCTGTAACACAGCAGAGCTACAGATCAAAGGTTCTGGGGGCTGAGGGTGTGGCTCAGTGATGTGAAAGGGAGGGCAGAGGCAAGGGAAAGGCAGCACATATCTCATAGAGGCCAAATGTGAAGTTCTGGGTTCAAATCCTGATGTGTCACTTTATGACCATGTGGCAAATCTCAAGACTCACAAGCCTTGGATAACTGAACAGGTTTAATGACATTAATCCCAAATAGCAGTTGAAAAGTTCTAGTCAGTGGCTCCTAGGTGGAAAATCAATTCAGTTTCCAGAGAGTGTCTCCCAGGCTCAGTGCTCACAAACAAGAAGCTTGGCTGTTTGTCTTTTCGAGTTCAACTTAACGACCACCTCTTTCTGACTCAAACGAATTCTTCAGCACTGCCTCCCGCTCTACAATAAGAAGCTTTTCACTATTTAGCTCTCAGATTTCAGCAAAATCTGTGGCTTTTGCAGCATCCTCCTGCTGATTCACAAGGGTTCATGGAGCTGTGTCCCTTCCAGCTTTGAAGCCCAGGGATTCAGCAGCCCATCCTCTGGGAGAATCTTCATTTAGCCATGAAAGACTTTAATCTCAGCACCCGGAGGTGGAGGCAGCAGGATAGCATGTCTGAATTCAGCCTGAGAAACTTAGTGTCTTAGCAAGACTCTCTCTCAAAATGAAAAAAAAAATTAAAGGCTGTCATATAGCTCAGTGTGGAGGCCCTGGTTTAAATCCCCAGTATCAAGAAGGAAAAAAAAAAAGTGAAAGACAGACCAGAGTTGGTTGGCACACAACCCCACGTGCATTGTAGTGGATCTGAGTTCTGTTAGACTGATTTCATTCCAACCTGTTTACCTTCCCTTGCAGTCGGTTTACCTTATCTATACAGTAAGTTTAATAAAATCAGAACTTTACAACTAAGTTAAACAGGGAGGTAACATGCCTGGCACCTGCTAGAGACTCGGTGTATGCTAGTTTCTTAGACAGACAGACAGACAGACAGACAGATGATAGATAGTGCTTTCTGGGTATTTCAGTTTTATTTGCTGAACCAAAGTCCCCTGACCTGAGATTATAATTCTAAGCTGATTATAATTCTGAGCTGATAATTCTAAGTCACAAATAGCTACAGGGGAAACAGTCACTTGGAGTTGGGAGAAGCGTTATGCACTCACTAGTTGGCCCTTGGAATTCATGTTCCTTTCTCTAGACCCTAATTCCTTCTCCTGTAAATCACAATAGGATCACCTCGACCTTGCTGAGTCCTTGAGAGCTTACATTTTCCTTTTTTTAAAAAATATATGCGCCCAAAGCTGGCTGTCGTATCTGCCACTTTAGGGACCCACCACAAATGGGCCGAGGGAGTGGATGAGGGTGAGGATGTTGAGTGGCCAGGGAGCTGTCCACACCCACTCCCCACTCCCCAGCTGCTCAGGACCTGAATGAGGTGCCCGGGGCCCTGAGGTCCAGACCATGGACAGCAGCTTCCTGGTCTTGACAGCTCTCAAGATCATTCTAGAACTACCTGAATTGGATCTGTTTTGTGAAAAACAAGGCTCCTTGTCCTCACAATATACCTTCCGAGGCATAAACCCAGGGGTGGGTATGAGGATAACCATCATTACTGCTAGGATTCTAATGTACACTGACTTTTGAAGACAGTCTTCGACCCTTGGGTTTGTAATCCTGGGAAGATGTAAAACCCTGACCTGTGCTTACAAGAACTTGGTGAGCACCTTGTCCCAGAAGTTGGATGTCTTGGGGACTATCTTGCAACTTCTAGAAACAGCCAGCAGGGGTCACTGAACACTCACATATTCTTTTCCTGCCTGTCCTCCCTTCGTTACTAAAATCCTTATCAATTTTTCTTTCAACAAAACAAAACAAAACAAAACTGAACCTTTAAGACTCTTTTCCTTAGAAAACTAGAAAAAAAATCAAATGTTCTAGGATAAAATGAAATTTCTTATCTCTTTAATCGAATCAGCCAATATCTGTCTTTATCAAGTATTTTATTACATGTGGTGACTTCAGACAGAAGGGCCTAAGGAAGGCCAGCTTCTTTAATTTCATCCTTTATTCAGTGGAAGGAGAAACACCTCTGAGTTTATGTTATGGAAAAAGGTAGCAGTGTTCTCTTGACAGGACCCTCTGAGAAGGTACTGATGTTGATAGATTGTGGGAGTCTGAATATGTATCTGTCTTTTCCAGGCCTGGCACTTTTTTTTTTTAGAATTTAGTTTTTGGTAGATTGTTTTTAATATACAAAAATACATGTTGCTCTGGAAAAATCATAAGGCACAGATATGCAATAAAGAAGAGAATAAAAATCTCACTGTACCAAGACAACCACCAGAAATACCCTATTGTAGCCAGGCTTCACACACACACACACACATACACACTTGATTGTAAGTATATTTGATCACACTGTGCACACTGTTTTCTTGCCTACTTGTTCAGAAAATAACATGCTGCCAACACATCCACGCCAAGGAATAGGCTGCAACATTTCAATGGCTGCAAAGCGTTTTCTCATATAGTTTACAACTAATCCTGTAAAATATGGTGAGTCATTTAGAATATCTAGGAGTGTATAAATACCCCTGTGATGGACACTCTTTGATGTCAATCCGAGGACACATCCCTAATTTTATTTGGTCTGTTGGATTTTCACAGACACTCCCCCTGGTGCATAGGTCTGCACAGGCGGAGGTGTCATGATTTGCTAAGCATTTCTGGCAGGGAATAGATCTATGTATGTTTGGGCAGGCCTGGGCAGCTCCATCTCAATTGACTTTGAGAGTGTTTTGATTTGTTTTCTCTTCCTTACTGGTGTTTCTAGAATGTTGTTAATGAAATGCAATACCCACCTCTCAGTTTGTCTCTGCCTTAACCAAGGATGGGAGCGAGCGGAAGGGAGAGGGGTACAGGAGGTACTGCTGGGTGCTCTGTTTCACCCATCTGGTTTCTAAGGCACCAGCCAAAGTCTCAGATGAACAGCTTTGTTCTGAGGCATCCTGGCCCTTAGAATTTTCTACAGGGCCCTTTCGGACCCAGTGGGTTGTGGGAAAGGATGAGAAGGGGGAAGTGTGTGGTATATTTGAGACCAAAGCATCTGCCTTGGGAGAACATATTTTGTTAGCCCCAACTGGGAAGTTCAATAGGGATGTTTTCTGGAGGAGGGGTGACAGCTGGGGGCCCATCCCCCATTTAAATTCATACTTTGTGATTTTGCTTTTGCCTGATTCTCCTCCAGCACATGCCGAGTGCTATGCTGTGTGAGGGACCCAAAGCACCTGCTGGTTACATAACTGCCTGTGACTCTGACACTTCCTCTGGGCTACCACTCAGTGTATGTGTCTCATTCTGGTCCTCACAGCTAATTGCCAGCTTTCTACTAAGTTCTATGGGATTTTCCCTGAGATAATAATCCATGCCCCAAACCAACAGTGCACAGTTTCACTTAAACTTTAATCAGTTTCTATGAAATGCCTAGGGCCAGGCAATTGGCTCTGAAAAAAAGAAGGAAGAGAAACATAAAATGTGGCTTCTGAATCACTAAATTGCTCAACTCATGCTTCTGGGAAACCTATGGTAATGAGTTTTATTGACTGAAGGTCAAAGAGTAGTCCCAATCCTGGCACTCAGGCAGACTACCTACTTCACAGAGGCACAAACTCAGGCTCAGAGGCAGGAGTGGAGCTCACAGGTCCACCCAAGGCTGTACAACTAGTAAGTGGAAAGCCAGGAGCCCCACCTGTCTGCCAGCTTCCAGAGCGTGTGCGAGTCACAGGCCTTGGTCCCCTGGGGGCAACTGGAGGGGAAGACTGCACATAACCTGTTGAACAGGCTGGTAGTTTTACCAAAACAAAAACAGCCATCAAGAGGCAGGGTCCAGGGCCAGGAATTTAGCTCAGTGGTTCTGCCGCCTGCCTCGCAAGCCGAAGGTCCCAAGTTCGATCCCCGGTACCAAAAAGAGGCAGAGTCCAATTGCCAGCCCCTTGATCTCAGGCTGCCGTGAATGACTCCCGTGTCATCAGCAGAACACACTGGGAGCGGTGGTGTGAGCCTTCAGAAGCCAGCTCAGAGAGGCCTACGGTTTCTGCCTTGGTCTCCCAGGACACTTGCTGTCTGGCTTCTCCTTCTTGGGACGCCCCCTCTGTACGCCTGGTCACCCTTCGGTGCTGACTCCAGCCCAAGTGGCCAGGCTTGGCCTCCTGATTGTCCACACCCAGGCTCCAGCCACCTGACTGAAGAAGCCCCAGCTGTCTGAATGTTCCCAGAACAGCTGAGGTGCAGACACCAGGGAATCTGCAGATGGCCAGAGTCCTGCACTGCGGACCCCACCCGTGGAACAGGGGTTGTGATTCTTCTGCCACACATACACAAAAGAGAGAAAAACAGGAAAGCATGGACAAACAGCCCAACAGACCCATGCCAACATTCCCATTACTGAGGACAGGAGGCCTGCACTCACCTGTGGCACTATTGATGGTAGACCATGACCTAGGAAAGAAAAGAGAGGCAAAGTCAGTATCAGCTGCGGAGGTCACCAGCCTCCCGAGAAAGGGAGGGTGGTCATCACAGGCCATTTCACCAGTCAGCCTGTGACATCTGCTTGTGCTTATATTACTACAGACCAGAAGTGCGACATTACTAAAACAGAAAAATCATCACTACCTTTTTATGATTCTTCGAACACACATGTATGTATGAAGATACATGTGTACATTTAAACATACACTATATATATATAAAACGCTATAAAAGAATGATTCAACTCCTTGTACAAACACATTCTATATCTTTCAGTCTTATCAAAATGCATGAAGTGTATTGGTGGTATGGTATTTTGGAGGGGGATTCAGGTCTTTGCTAGTTTTGACTATTTTAAATAACAGAAATGCTTATCTATGCTCTCACTTTTAACCTCCTCTCTGGATATTTTCATGGGTACACTCTAGTGCAATGAAGGGGTCAAATGGTGCGGAGATTCTGGGTGTCTTGTTCCATGTTTCTTAGTTGCTTCTTGGATAAATTGTATCAATTCCCATTAATTTATATTCGTATCCATACAATGTGAAATCATCACTATTAAATACATACATTGACACCACTTGATTCCTTATTTTAGTCATTTCATTTCCTGAAGGCTAGTGAGATTGCATTATTATTGCTATTATTTTGAAATTGTTTTGGGCCATTTGCATTTTCTCTGTATATGTCTTCATCCATTTTCCAACGGCGACATAGCATAGCCAGAGCATCCACCTTGGACAGTGTGCTCTTGGGAGCAGCTTTTCTCTGGGTTTCAGGCACTGATCTGAAAGCCCCAGGGAAATGGGAAGCTCCCAAGGATGCTGCTTCCATGAGCCGACTTGTTTGCGCCTTTAATAACTGCTGGCCCTTGCAGCATACCTTTCCTCCGAGGCTCGAAATGCGTCACAGGAGCAATTAATTGAGCATCGCAACACACAGCAGGTGTAAATATTTACAAGGTCTATTTGGTGGCTGGGACATCGGCACACAATAGTTAAGCAGTGAGGTGTTCTTAACCAGGACTGAAGTTAACCCTGTTGGTTTCTCTGGAACAATTTAATCCTTAAAGTGTCCTTGTGCGGTAGCCATTACTGTCTCAAGTTTGCAAAAGAGGAGGTGGCACTCCAAAAGCTCAAAACATTGCCTGACCCAGCCACTAAGAGGGTCCTGCCACCTGCCTGTCCACTCCTCCCAGCCTTGCTGTCCCCCTGGCTTTTGCCTATAGGAAGCGGCAAGTCCTGGTCTGCAGGTACCGTGCAGCTGTGGCCTCAGAGCCTTTGTGGTTAGCAGTTGGCGCCCTTACAGGTTGCCTGAGATTCTGCAGAAATTAACAGTAAATCAACCAGCAAGGAGCAAATCATTTATCTGGGGCTGCGAGCTCTCTCCTGACACCGTAAACAGATGGCCTCTTCCCTGACATCCTGGTCTTTGATTAAGGCCTCAAAAGGCTCCAGACTTGGAACTCATGACATGTGAGATGGAAGAGGTATGAGTGTGAGCTCAGTGCAAATGGGGGAAGCGATTCTCGTGACAGAAGGTGGCGATTCTTATGTGGATGTCCTGGGAGTCCCAGCCCAGGGATTTTGAATACAGGGCAGCCTCGTAGACACGTGAGAAAGAACTTGGCCTTTACACTGACCTTCTGACACTGGCCTCACGGATTTCAGAATCGAGAGGACATTGGAGATAAAGTGGTCGAACTCATTAGTTTTACAGAGGGAGAACGGGGGCACTGCACTACTAGAGGAATCTTCCCCATCTCAGACCCTGGGAGGCAGAGCTGGGGCCCTTTGACATCACAGAAGAGTGGAACCCAAGGGAGAGGAAAAGAACCGGTATTTTTCAGCATAGGTCTGGGCAGTAACTGAGCCTCCACTGTAGCTGGTGGTGTTTTTTTAGTAGGCCAATTTGACCCATTTACATTTATTTTCACAATTTCTTTTCTTCTTCCAAATTCAATATTCTCTAAAAGTTGTTTTAACTTACAAAAAGTTGCACAAAATTAATGTATACAACTTGATGAGTCTAAAGATAAGTATATATCCGGGAATGGACAAATATTAGCTAACAGTATCTGAAATGCAGTTGCCAAGGGTTAAGAGGAGGAGGGAAAAAGGAGTCAAAGGGTTCAAATGGGTCTTAGAGGTCTACGGGGCAGCAAAGTGCCCAAAGTAAAAAATATCATATTGTATAATTAAAATATTGCTAAAAGGACAGATCCAGTGTTAAATGTTCTTATCTCCACACAGGTAGGGGAGAAGAAAGTTTTGCAGATGATGGATAGGCTTGCGGCATAGATGTCAGCCCGCAGGTATCCTGATTTCCATTTTGCAGATGCAGCTAAAACTTCGAAGAGTGAACCCACTCGCCCATGGAGGTACAGTGACGGGTTTTGTGTGACTCTAAGTCCCTTGTTATTTATAAGCCAATCGCAGCAATTGGAGGTGTCTGGGAGCCTCTTTCCGATTGCCCAGGCTGTCCGAAAGTGGCTTATGTATTCCTCCTCTCAGAGGTGCCTGAAGTGATGCCACTCCTTTGCATGCCATATCCTCTGAGATTACACACCCCAGGGCTCTCTGTGCGTCAATGCAAGCCAAGTGAATTAGCAGAGGAAGCGTCAGCAAAACAGGGAGCAGCTGTTATTCCAGCTGAGCCCGCTGCTGTGAGCCAGAGAGCTGGAAAACCAAGGGGGAGGGAGAAGAGGAAGGCCGGCTCTGGGCCCCGGGCCTGGGCACCACGGTTTTGTCCGGCTAGAGCATGGACATCATCTTGACACCAGGCTCTGACAAACTGTCTGGGAAGCTGCCTGTGTTCATGCTCTTTTCAGCCTGACAGCCTGGGTGATGAATGGAAGATGCTGCAAGCAACTGCATGGAGATTTGATGTGGTCTGTCTGTGCTCCAGCAAGGCCCGGGCGTTAGCAACCTGCCTCTTGCTAGGGAATGACAAGATGCTCCCTGGCTCCCTTTTGTCAACAGCATTGGTGACAGCCACATGTGAATGGGCCACAGCTGCGTGGCATCTAGGTCGGCATCCCTGTTCCCTGCCACATCCGGGCTGGAGGAAATAGTTCCTCTTCCCTCTGCATTTCCGGTGTGGATAGACAAGTGTCAACATCGTCACAGGGCAGTGCATGAAGTTTGAAATGAACCAGGGTGACGCGCCATGGTCTGTGGTTTTCAATATTTAAACCCACGACACATATAGATTTTTAATTCTGAATTATTTTTAATTTTTAAATCTCTTAAATAATTTAATACACTTGATGATTTTTAATTTTTAAAGGATACTATAGCAAACTCCCCTCCCCCCTGCTTTCAGGCAGAACTAGTTCCTATGACGCAGACAATGTGTGCTTGCGTCCCACTTATTCATAGAAACAAAGTTAGGAGGATGCATTATCCTGGTCCCGTAGAGATGGACCCCGATCGTCTCCAGGGCCAAACTGCTAGCACGGAGAGTGGTAACTCAGCGGGCCCGGGAGTGCAGTGCGCGGGTCCCTGGAGCCTTCCCAGGCGCTGATGACGCTGCGTCCACAATTCAGGGCAAACCCCTGGGAAATAACCCGGGTGACTTCACATGCCAGTCTCTCCCCTTCCCAAACCTGCAGGACTAACTGGCTGAGCTCCAGAGCTCCTCCTCAGCTCTGGCCCTGAAGTTAAAAGGCTATCATGGAATACAATTTCCTACTTCCGGAAAGACAACTGATATTTCTAGGAGTTACTCAGCTCATTTTAGATGCAGAGAGAAATGAAGGAGGATGCGGGACTACTGAGTTCATTCCTCCTTTCTCTTGCCTTGAAGGTCTGCTGCCTCATCGGGAACTGAGCAAAAACCTCATGATGGCTCTTGGTGGGCAGCATCTTTATCTCCATTTCGGGCTTTCATAGAATTCTAGTGCCAAACAGGACGCTGAATAATATGAACTAGCCCTTTCGTTTTGCCTGGAGCCAGGGCCTGTGGAGTCCACGGGGCCACAAAACACCCAGCCTGGCTGCCCAGAGCCACTGTGCTACTCTCCGCCCCTAGGGGGAGCTCGTGTGCTTCCGGGATATGCGCAGTGGCCCAGAGCGGAGGGCCTGGAAGGGCTAAGAGGGACCAAGGCTGGCCCGGGTCAGTGTGACGCTTTGCAAAGCGCGTGAATAAAGGATGCGCAGAGCTGCGTCTAGAAGGGCGGTGTAGGAACACACACGCTTGATTGGACAGGGAAGAACTGGGGCTTGTAAGAGGCCAAGGAGGAGCGCATGGTGACTGAACATGGAGTTTTCCTTGCTTCCCACTCTGCCTCTCCACCTGGGCGTGTCCCTGTCATCTTTCTGATGCATCCACACTCAGGCCACTAGGACAGAGTGCAATTGAATCCTCAGACTTCCACGCTGGGAGACAGAACTCATATGGTGCCTGTGGCACGGCCTATATGCACAGAGCCCCAGGAAGCATGTGTGGGGCCTCCCACGAGCAAGATGGCCTGGAATTGCGCAGGTCAAGTCTGGTCCCAACCTGGCAAGGCCAATGGAGCATCCAGCATGTGGCAAGTGAGAACACTCCCCTGAGATCCCCCGAAAGAGGCTCTCTGTGTTCGGTGCAGATTGGAGGTCGGAGGGCATCTCCCAAACCCTTGTTGTTTTGAAGCAGATGAAATTCATGGAGGTAGAATAGGGACAAAGTTCACATATAATAAGTGAACCAATGAGTCCATCTTTCTTAAAGGGATTCCCGATCAGTTGTAAGAATCTTCTTTGTTTCAGTTGATACATAAAACTTGTACATATGCGTGGCTGCTCTGAGACATGAGTCTGTTGTAGAATGTTCAAGAACCCTTCTCTTCCTGTTGTTTTTATGAAAATTGTTTAGGTCATGCAAAGCTCTGCAGGGGCCCTGGGGATAGCACTGAAAGTGCTGGGGTCAAGCAGAGCTGGCAGAGCTTACACTCTGAGGCCCAGCCCACACTGGCTCCTCCGGAACCTGCCCTGCCAGCCCCATCCAGAACTTTCCTGCCCTGAGCTCCCATGAAATCTCATGCTCCAGCTATGTGCTGAGTCAAGCTGGGAGGCTGCTTGTGATTACTAATTCATAATTTATCTCGTACTGATAAACTTTCATCTCTTTCTTCGAAGACAGACAACATGTCTGTGAGCTAATGTCTTCTTCAGGTATACTATTGATGTCCCTGACAAATATTAAAAAGCGAAAATGAAATTGGGCATTTTGGTGGGCTCTAGGGCAGACGAGTGAGTGAACAGGATGAGTTGTTTTGCCTTGGAAATTCCTGCAGGGGCAGACAGTCAACACCTGCGTCTCAAATCCCCTCCACCTCTCTCTGACTTTCCAACTTGGCCTCTGGCTTCTGTCTCCTCTTCCCTCTGGCCTCTCTCCCTGTTGAAGTACCTTTTGTCATCCTTGTAAGGAGTTGACATGTCAGGCCCTGTCAGAGGCGCTGGATACGGCACCAGCTACCGGCATCCTCCATCCTCACCACAAAGCCCTCATGAGCCCTGACTTTATTCCTCCTTCTTCCCCTTCTCCTTTCAGCAAATGTTACTGAGGACCTACTGTGTAGGCACCCTTTGGGGATGACCAGTGGACAGCTGGCAGATGCCCCTGGGTTACTGCATCCTTGATATGGCTCTCAGCTGGAGCGATCTTCCAGCAGAACCCTTGGCCTTCTGCGCAGTGAAGTGGGCCAGAGCCAGGGTGGCGCTGAGGGGTGTCTCAGTGCTATGAAGTCCCAGCAGGCCTGGCAAAGTGGGAGCAGGAAAGAGCAGAACACGGCTCCAGGGTGTGCCTACATGCAGGGCCCAGCAGGGGGCGCCCTCCTGTATGAATAGAAGTGCGGCCCTGTCTCCTAGGGGTGAGCGAAGCCCTTGAGGGACCTCAGAGACCACAGCCACCTGCATGCACCGTGTCTGCTGGCGTGGGTAGTGGCTGCTCTGTAGCGACTTTTTCCTTAGAAAACTCAATTCAGGTATATACGGATTCCTTCAGCATCCAGAGTGCAGGGCATGCAAGTCTGCTATAAGAAACGGTGTGGTGTATGCAAATCACCTGCGGCACATCCAGTGTACCAAAGTATTAAAATACCTAATGCAGTGTAAACACAATGCAAACAGTTGTTAGACTGTATTGGTTAGGGCATGAGGGCGAGGAAAGTGGCTGGGCATGCTCAGTGTAGACAAAACTGACATTTTTTTGTTTGTGGTTGGTTGGATCCACAGACCTGGAACCCACAGATGTGGCGGGCTGTGTCCTGATACGTAAGGAGGCTTTGATCATGAAAACCCAGAAATGGCACTGACTCTGAATTTAAATCCAGTCATCACGCCTTCTGAGCTCCGTGCCTGTGACCATCACATGTGATACCTCTCAGCCTATTTTTCCTTATCTGTAAATGAGGATTAAAGCACCAGCTTCCATGCATGTTGTGAAGGGTGGGTGCCAAGGACCCTTCCCTGGAGTCTGGTGCCTGTGGTCCTCAGGTACTGATCCCTGGTGGCCTCAGTCGGAAAGCAACCAGTGGTGTGTTTCTGAGTCTCCGAGTGCAGACTTAGGCAAACAGCACAGAACGGAAGTGGGTTTGGGGATTTAGCCACAAAAACCCTACAGGACACCGTAGTGAGATCCTGGATCCCGGATGTGACATGATCTGTGGTTTTCCTGGAAAGCCTCCTGGCCATAGCTTCTGAGCGGGCTCCTGCCCTCAGCGAGTTCCTTGCTTTGTGTGTCACCAGGAGGCTGAGTTATGCACACCCGAGCCTGGACACCACGTGACACCTGTTGGGAAGGCAACGGCACGGAGGGCCGCCATTGTTCTCCACATTATTGTTAATTGTTCTTACCATTGACCGTAGCACAGCTAGGTAGGTGACTTTAGGAAACCTCCTCTACCCTTTCTCTCCTGTGTAAGGGAGACTAATAAGAGTGATTGCTAGGATCCAGTGAGAGGTACCTAGTAAGCTTTTAGGACAACACTCATACCCAGTGAGCACCCAGTGACTGCCAGCCTTGGGTATTCACGGGAACCCACAGAGTTCCGGGCACCCCATTGAGGCCATTCACTTGTTCCCCAAACACAGGCACTGCTTGGGGCTTGGGATTCTGGGGTAAAAAGAGTCTACTTGCACACAGCTGTCCCAGGCCACACAGCTAGCAAGCAGGAGCGCTGAGATTTCATTCCCAGCTCTGTGGTCTCTCGCTGCCACTCTCAGTGCTGGTAACTGTCACTTCTATGGGGAATGAATATTGCCAGCTTGATAGTCCTTCAGGTGGGATAGTAAACCCAAATATGTAGCTTTCAGACATTTTGATTTGATTTATATATCTCAAATGCTAATATATTCATATAATACTTTTAATATAAAATATGCAGTGGTACAGAGATTTGTATGTATGTGAGAATTTTTTAAAAGTTTTGGGTTTATAAATGGTTTGAAACAGGCTGCAGAAACATTGTCTGTTGCTCTCTTTAATACATCTCGAGCATGCTGTGACACATCCTGAAATAATTTGCTTTGGAGAAAAAACATTACTCTTCTCTCTCTGTCTTTTTCTCTCCCAAATGTAACTGTAAATATTACTTTGATAGGTTTAATTGCTTCCACCCTCTTCATTCGAAGGAAGGCTTCTAACCCTTCCATTTCTCATCTTTTGCTTTTGTCAAGAAATAAGAAAAATGGACTTAAAATGCATTATTCAAATGTATTTAATGTAAACATTAAAGAAGTCTGAGAACAGCCACATTTTCCTTGGCTTAAAGTGGTTTAGAAAAATAATGTGAGTATTCTGTCTGCACTCTCCTTCGGGAAGTACTTTTTCTAGCGTGTCCTGGGTCCCAGGACTCCTCACAGTGCCCGGACATAGCTAGTCCTGAGGGTGCTCTGTAGATTGACTTGTATTAAACTAAACTGGGATTTGAGGATGGGTAAGAGGCAATGAGCCTCAGGCATCCCTGGTAAGAAAGATCACCCCTGGTGGGCTCAGTGAGGGTGTCCTGGTGGGGCATGGGGAACCCAGGCTCTGAGTGCTGGGGTTCTCAGTTGCCCAGGGTGGGTTTGCTGGGAATTGACTTTGGGTTCGGGTTCCTTGTCCCTAATTTCATCAAGTTAGCCCACCATACTGAGCCTTTTGGCTTGTCAGTGAGCTGCTGCAGGGTAGGACGATTTTGTCTCTGAATTTTCAGTGTACCGTGTAAGTCTTGACGTCCTAGCTGCTCAGTAAATGATTTTCTCAACTGAGAAGTAAAGAAAATAACATCAGGCCCACTTGGCTCTCTCATGTGCAGGCTGTGAGACCCCGAGGTGGACTTGTGGCCTGATCTATGACCGACACCCTTGATAGCGGGACTGGTGGCTTCCCTCAGGGGCTCTCTTGTCCAGAAAGATGGGTGGGTGACATGAACTGCCCCAGCCTGCAAAGCAGTGGAAGCTTCTCAGCCAAGATCTGTGTCACATACCCGGCCCACCCCATGTCAAGTTCCTCCTGTACCTTGGTCCCTGTGTCACCTCAGAGATCCTTACCAGCAGTGTAATTTCATCCTATAAATGCTCCATGTGTATGTGTGAGATGGTCAATTTATTTACCACAAAATTAATTTTTTTCACTCCTCTCTTAATAAACAAGTAAATATTCTGACCTATTGTTTGGCAGGGCGAAGTTCTGGAATTTCAGATCTCTGGGTCCCTCTTTCATTGTCATTTTATTGCCCCTGGGAAGAAAGAGAATAGATTATAGCAGGGAAATAGCAAGGAGCTAAGGAGAAAAAATTAATTAAGAGCATTCATTCATAGGAACAGCCATCCAGTCAGATTTAAGTAATTAATGCCTCACACATAATTCTGAATCTCTCCTTACATTTCTATTGGATCCAAAAAAATTGTGTTTAAAGTAATGAAATTAATTAATGCTTTTTAACATGTAAGAGCTATGTTTTACATGGGGCAGCAGTGTGGGTGGAGTTAAGCCCCCAGTCAAGATGAGGTCTTGGCTATCTCTGGCCCCTTGTCAGGGTGACCTTGATGTTTTCTGTAAGCCCCGGGACTCCCTGTCTGTTCTGTGAAGTGAAGACCATCTTACTCTGCCACATGGTGGACTGAGGCTGCTAAGATATTGAAGGGCCAGCGATTGTGAACCAGGCAAGATTCCAGATGCTTTCCTCTACCAGCTGAATTTGACAAAACTCCCGTCCATGTCCTTCCATGGAGGAAGGCATGCTTCTTGGCAAGAACAGCTGTGATCTGAATAATAGGCACCGAACTCCTGTAGAATTTAGGCACTTTGCTAAGTCACTGTCCACGAAGAGATGAAACTATTTTAAACCGAGTTAATTTGTTAAAATTCATTGAGCACTTTCACTACCATAAACCATCATGGTTATGCATCCCTGGTTCATTTAATTAGCCCAGTTTAACACTCTCTCTGCTCAGGCATTTCAGGAACTCTGCAAATGCTCAAGGATGAGGACAGTGTTTCCTCTGGAATCTCCCAGAGAGCTAGCCCTTAGGGGATGTAGGACACTGTTTCCTCAGAGTCTCTCCTCTTCCCTCCACTTGGGCCTGTCTTGGCCTTCTCGGTCCTTGGACATCCTCTGCCTCCTCCCTCAAGACTGTTATGGTCTCCTCTTGTCTCCTTTCCCTGGTCACCTGTGATTCATGCTCTCTTCTACTTCCTCAGGGCAACTCTCCAACCCTCTGCAGCTCTTGGCTGAGCTTTCCTGCTACTTTGAAATGCAGCTTGCATGCTAGTCTGATGAGGCCTCTGAACTTCCAGCTCTGGGAGAGCACAGATTTATAGATTTGCCTCTCTGGGACCTGGGTCCATGCCTGGCCTGCAAGGGCCTCATGGATGCTGGAGTGCGCACGGGGCTCTGGGACCACTCTCTCCACCTGACATTTGTGTGTGGCCCAGGGAACCCAATGTGATGAATAAAAATCCCATGGGGTCCTCACCGATTTTAATTGATCCTTAAAAAAAGATGGCATTGTTTAATGATGTCTTCATTACTCATTCCATTGTTCCATTATTCCTTTCAGAGTGATTTTAGGATTGTATTATTTTCTATGTTTATTTATTGTCTCTTTTCTACCTGAGTAAAGCTTGATTCATAAATCTATATCTACACTATAACTTTCGACTTTTCTTCTAAGTCCTGGACATAAAGAGTCAACTCCTTTCTGGGTGTTTTCCTCTGCTGCCCTCCAGCAGGTCCAGACTCTTTCCTCGGGAGCAGTTCCAGTTGTTCGCTATGTAGCTTCCAAGTCAGTCCCCTGGGCACTGAGTGTGGTCCTTCCCTTTCCTTCCCTCTATCATCGACGTCTTGCTAATTTGTTACAGATCTTGATGCCAGGACCCTGAATGACTCTCAGCTCCAGCCCTTCCTCTTTCCCCCTAAAGGTCCTCTCAGTCTTACTTCTTGCAGTGTCTCCAGGCTCTACCTGCTCCTGACCTTCACCAAACTTCTCTAAGTACAGCCTTCTAATCAACAAGTCACCTCCCTGCTCGAAAATCCTCTCTAGCTCTCCATTCCTGTAGGATAAAATCCAAGCTTTAAACCACAATAATTAGCCAAGATTCCTGCTTCAGTGGCCTCCCTGCCAGCCCCCCTACTGGGGCCTTAAGGGCACACTTTATTAATTTATGTATTTTGTGAAGATCATTCTTTATGTTTCCTCTGCATCTTAAAAAAATCCTTTCTGTTCTTTAGGGTCAAATTCAAGTATGTCTTCCTTATTTGTCCTTCCCTACTGCTTCCTCTGTCAGTCCCTCTAGTACTTTTGCATACTTCTGTGTTGCCATTCATTCATTTGCTCACGAATCTGTTCATTCATTCACTCAGCAAATAATGATGACGTTCTGTCCCAGGCAGCGTGCTCTGCATTAGGAAATAGCCACTGAGGAAGGCAGAGGGCATCCACTGCAGGGAGGTTTTGGGGGCAGGAGAGGACAGGCCACACACTACAGCCTCATCATGTTGACATATATGAGCCTCTGTGTGTCTGTGGTCCCCACGAGTTAAGTTCCCTTGGGTGAGGGCAGGTCTTGGGCATCCTTTTCTCTCCCCGGACACCATGTACCAGCTTACCCCAGAATGCTCTCAGGGATGTTTATACGACAGCACACAGACATACATGGGAAATGGATGAATGACCTTCCAGCCTGGGCTCATGTACAATAGTAAGACCTGCACTTAATTGTGCAGAATCCCTTGTATCTGATACTGGGGGTTCTGGTCTGTCCTTGCCCTGGGAAGGAAGCCCTCAGCTTCATCTTATCTCAGGATTATGGGCGTCATTTCTGTGCTCTGGCAGCCCCTGTGACATTTTAAAAATAGCTTTAACCCCTCCACTTAGGGGTGGAAAGGATTCTGGGGACTTCGGCAACTTCCTCGGATGCCTCAAGAACCCAGTAGCCGGACAGCTCCCTCTGACTTTCCTAATAGCTTTTTAATTCTAAGCAGAGAATTGAATTCTGATTCTCTTTCCTTTCTTGTTCACAGCAAGCCTCAGTAATAAATGGACAGTCCCCCTTCTCAGTGCGGTGCTGCAGGTGAGGAAGCAGGGGGATGAACAGGTGAGCAGGCTCCTGGGTGGCAGGGCCAGGGCGACATGCCAGGCTCCACAGCACATCTGTCCAGGTGTGCCAGAGCCCTGCAGACAGAGCCGGAGCGGGAGACAGCCCGCCGCTGCCAGGCCAGAGGAGACCAGCCGAGAAACATGCGAAGGAAGGCCTGGGAGAGGGAAGGAGGAGAATGCGGAGAAGCTCTTCTTCCTGCACAGGATCATTCTGCGAAACACGAGCCAAGCTGGCAAATAAATGGCCATCTACCTGCTTGTCTGTTACTTACAAACAGCAAAGAGAATTAGCAAGTTTCCTCCCTGCTTCAGATATTTCCTTAGAGTTCAGATTCCAGAGAACCTTTTTTTTTAAATGTATAAAAAAGTCCCAAACCATCATGAAAACAGTTATTAAAGACTATTAATCTAATAGATGAAAATAGTTTATTTTGCATTAAATTGAGATCTGACCCTGGAAGGAGATATACAACATTCCCAAGTTGCCCACTGCATTGGGGGTGACACACTGTGGACCACAGTCCTCCACGTAGAGATGCCTCATTTTACAAGGCTTCCAACCTTGGGGTGCAGCTCTCCTTCATGTGGGCCACTTAGCTCCTCCCCACCAAAGAGGAAAATAAAGCAGCATCTTCAAAGTGCAGGTATATTAGCTCATAACTGACTGGTCCAGTGTCCTCCAGGGAAGCAACACAGGGGAATCCACTGTGCCGAGAACTCCACGCACTCCTGGAGAGACGAAAGAGCTGGAGGCACATGGGGGGCACAGAGTCAGTGAGCTGGGCCACCTCACCCTCTGCGGAAATGGAGCCTATGCACCCCTCAGGCTGGCTCCTGTTTCTGACCATGCTCCCTGTGCCTCAGGCATAGTGCCTTGCAGCCATCTTTGGTTTCCTTGTCCGCTTTTGCACCTTCTTTCTCTATGATCAACCAGCAAAATACACCTGATTCTCCTCCACCCATTTGCTGGATTTGTCCCTCCATGCGTTCCCTTTGGAAGTACCCTCTGCAGACCCTTTTCAGTCTGTTCTATGCAGTGCAATCCATGTATAGCAGCTGCAGATCTGGACCCATGCATGTGACCCTATTTGTGTCATAGGAGATGTAATTAAGATCAGGATCTTGAGACAAGCTTATCCTGGATTAAAGTGGATCCTAAATCCAGTGACAGATGCTCTTCTCAGAAAGAGAGGCAGAGATATCCTGGCAGGGAGGGGCAGCCTGTTCAGAGAATTACAGGCACCTCCTCCAGTCCATCCCGGCCACTCCTGTAACTTCTCACCTATACAGGAAGCCATGCCCATGCAGGTGCCACCTGACCAGCACAGGAGAGAGGAGCATTTCTTCTGTAGTGAAAACATTGCTCACACTGGACTCTCACATCACATTCTGATTTTTCTAGATGCTTCACATTCTGTACACTCAGCACGAGCTTGCAAAAGCTGCTGAGAAATTACACAAATTGCTCTTACTCATAAGTCTTGTTCAAGGATTTTTAACTCTAAGATCACGAATAATAATAATGCATGACACTACACTTAGAGTGATAATTGGAAGAGCCAAATATTTATATAAAGTTCACAACTGGCTGGTCATTGTTTGGCATTCATGCATATTAATCCATCTAGACCTCATAGCAACTCAGCAAGGACAGTCTTATCCTCTTTGACCTTGTTGAATTTCTTTCTTTCTTTCTTTCTTTCTTTCTTTCTTTCTTTCTTTCTTTCTTTTTTCTTTCTTTCTTCTTTCTTTCTTTCTTTCTCTCCCTCTTCCTTCTTTCTCTCCCTCTTCCTTCTTCTTTCTTTCTTTCTTCTTTCTTTCTCTCCCTCTTCCTTCTTTCTTTCTCTCCCTCTTCCTTCTTCTTTCTTTCTTTCTTTTTCTTTCTCTCCCTCTTCTTTCTTTCTTTCTTTCTTGCTTGCTTGCTTGCTTTCTTGCCTTCCTTCCTTCCTTCCTTCCTGCCTTCCTGCCTTCCTTCCTTCTTTCTCTTTTTGAAGTAGGTTTGGCCATGTAGTCCAGGCTGACCTGAACTCACCATCTTCCTGCCTCCGCTTCCTGAGTACTGAGATTATTCTCATGTACCACCATGCCAGTTCCTGTCAAGCTTCTTGACCTTGCGCGTGACTCATGCTCTGTCTCC